TCTCCAAGGACTGGTCCTTCCTGGCAACATGTCCAAACTATGCTCGGCATCCTGGAAAAAGGTAATCTAACAAAGTGTGATAATTATCGCACAGTATCACTAATCTCATACTCAAGCAAAACCTTGAAGATTATTTTAAAATTACTCAAATAGTACATCGACAAAGAACTGTCAGATAAAGTGGGTTTAGAAGAGGCTGTGGTACTAGGGACATCACTGCCAATGTCTGAAAGATCTTGGCTGAAAGCAGAGAGTACCAGAAGAATGTCTATTTGTGTTTTACTGACTGTGTGGTCACTTTGAGTGTGGTCAAAAGATATGTGACTGTGTGGATCAAAACAAACTGTGACAAGAAATGTGACATTGACAAGAATGGGAATCCCAGAACACTTGTTTGTGCTCATGTGAAACCTATACTTAGACCAGGAAGCTGTTATACAACAGAGCACAGGAACACTGCATGGTTCAAAATCAAGAAGTGTCAGGATGTCTCCTTTTCCCAAACCTTTTCAATCTATATGTGGAAGAGATAATTCAGAAGGCTGGAATTCATGAAGAAGAATATGGCATCAGGATCGGAGGAAGACTCATCAACAGCCTGAGTTTTAGAGATGAGATAACCTTGCTCCCTGAAACTGAGAAGGACCCCTGAAGCTTATATGCTCTACCCCTCTGTATTTTATTTGTGAGCATTTTGTTAAGACTAGCTCTGGCTGTATGGCAGAACAATCCAGATCAAGTGTTTACTATTCTGAACAACTTCTCCTTCCTAATTAAAATATTCAAAGATTTCTTAACTCTAAAAGTTGTGACTGGTGCTTGCTTCCAGCACATATACTTAAAAAAAAGAAATAAAACAGATAAGATTAGCATGGACCCTATGCAAGAAGGACAAATATGTGAAGCATTCTATTTTTTTTTTTTAAAGTATGACTGGATTCTCTAAAACTGTATCAACCTATCACCTATATCCTTGACATCTGTATCCATTTCCAACACAGCCAGAAAATCCTGCCTCTTAAGATTTCAAGGTTTCAATAAAATTTAAGTCAAATTCAGCTAAGCATCTCATAATAATAAATTGATTTTGGAATGGTTAAAATATACATACACCTTGAGTTATGCAAAGCTAGCCTTCTAAATCTTTTTGACAATTTCAGAAATCACGAATCATCTCTTCTATCTCCCAATTTTCTAATTCTCTTGTGTATCCAGATTGAGAAGCAATCTCTACCAATCACAAACATACACAAAAAGCCACAGCCAACTCTCCATCGAGTTTTGAGGCAGTTTAATCGCATAGAAAGAGAATGCTCATCCTCCAGTGGAACAGCTGTGAATTAGAAATACATGCCTTCGAGACTGCAGTGCAGTTTCTTACCACTATGCCACCAGGGGGCAGTTGCCACCAAGGAGTGGCAAGAAGCTGTGCTGCGATCCCAAAGGCAATCGGTTCAAATCTAACTGCTGCTTCCTTCCTTAAGTACAGCTGAATCCCAGTGTTTTAGTATTTACCAAAGAAGCAGAAAATAAAGAATATGAAAAAACAAAAGCTGGGGAGCTCAGGTGGCCTAGTGGCAAGAAGCTGCAACTACAGTCCCAGAGGTGCACGGTTCGAATCCACCAGATGCTCTGCCAGGGAAGGAGGGGCAATCTCCTCCTGTACCAGTCAGATCTGATTTGACGGTACACGCACACAAAAATAATAAAATAAAAGAAAAAAATTTAAAAAAAGAAAAAACAAAAGCTGAAAAGGAATTTGAAACTATTTAAGTTGGACATCTTTCCAACTCGACTTCATAAATGAAAATATTGGAATTAAGGAGCTACAATGTCTACTAAAACCTTATCTTTTTACTTTCTAGTGGTAATACAGAAAGAAATATAGAGCATTTATACAGTCAGTATTATTTAAATGGTTTGCACTAGGATCTAGAAGGGAGCATAAAAATCTAACAAAAAAGACAGTAACATCTGAAAAAGATGATTTCATGCACTGCATCAAGACTGCACTGATTCATAGCTGACCCTCCAGTGAGAATCAGCTGCTGGATTTAAACCACCAGAGAGAAGACTGGGTTAGCAGCTCAATTTCCTATGGACTAGGGGTACAGACAGAAAAGGAAGATGTGTATCAAAAAAGGCATCAATTTATCCCTGTTATTCTTATAGCTATGATTAACACCCCCAAGAGACCGAAGCTGAACCAAATTTTATTATTCTTAAAATGAACAGTTTATAATACCTAGTCTGTATTTCTTGGTTCCACCCTGAGTGATAGTTAAGGAATTTATTTATATAGTGAAATATAATTCTACAACATGAATGAACCTTGAAAAGTTCATGCTGAGTGATGTCACAAAAGAACAAATCTATGATCCCACTTACATAAAATATCTAGGATAGACAAATGTATAGAAACCAGAGGCAGGAGAGATGGGGAAGGAGTAGTCATCTTTTAGGAAGCGCTAAGTATTTGAGACTTTGGTGGCCTAGTGGGAGTTAAGAGTCCCCAACCCAAATGCAGTTGGTTCAACCAGCTGCCCCCATGAAGAAAGACGGATAATCTCCTCTCTAGTGATTTACAGCCTCTGAAAACCAGCTGAAGGGTAAGCCAAGCCAGTTCCAACTCAAAGGCAATGAGTCAGTTAAGCATTTGTTAGGAAGTTATGGTTACCTAGTTTATAGGGAGTTGGGCTACTAACCCAAAGGTAGGGCCTCTCTGTCAATGAACTGAGTTTAAGTACTTGTAAATGGTGAAAAAGAGATAGGGGTGCTGATATGGCAAAAAAATACAAATCATGGTTTAACAACAGGATTAACGTAATCAAAGTCATCAAGTTGTTCATATAAAAAATGCTGAATTAACAAATGTGTTATATGTTATGTATATATGTATACATACACACACAAAACCCACTACCACAGATTTCAACTCTCAGCAACCCCACAGATTAAAGAACTGCTCCAAGAACTGTTTCCAAGACTGCAAATCTTTACTTAAGTAGACTGCCTCATCTTTCTCCTATGGATCAGTGGTTAGCAGTCCAATGCTTAATCCACTGTCTGACCAGTGTTCTGTTTATCTCTTCATTGATCTCTTACACACACACATATGTGTTTTCTTAAGCACTGTGCACAATCATTCTTGTTTCTGAGTTACTATGGGGATTCAAATTAAGGAGCTACTGTACAATTAAAAGCTGTTACTTTGATTTCATCCTTCAATTTTAGATTGCAATGAGTTGTTCCAGCTCTCTCCAATGCTTTTACAAGAAAGGCAAAAAATCACCTCTCAAGGAACTAAAAATATTAGATGTTCATAAATAAGACCAGAGCTTATGAAGAAGGTATCTGTGACTATGTATTCGCTCATCTGAGCTGGAATGTGAACGATGGAACACTCTATTTGGCCAATTCAAAATGGCAAAGATGCAATCTCAGGCCTAAAAACACATCAACAGCTCTAAAACACCCAACATCTGGCAATCTCTCTTGTTCACAATGCAGAGGCAAGTCACTGCAGGATACCAGACGTTTCTGATGGAACTTCTAGAACAGTTTCTGACTCAAACTCACCATCACTACCACCTCCACCACATTCTCCCTCCTACACACAGTCTGTTGTTTTTCTTGTGGGCTCCTCAGCCCTCTTTCAATCTTCATTAGTTTCTAACTATTTTGAACACTCCATATTCCCTAGCTCCATTCTCCCAAGTTCCAATTTCCGGATACATCCCAAGTAGTCTTCCAACTTATTTCCTATTATGCAATACCCCCCCAAAACACTCTGCCACCTCCACTCCATCTTTCTTTTTAAGACCTAATTCCCAACATCACTTCCCCCAGCCTCTACTGCAATTAATGACTCCATTTCACCTATCTACCACAGTTTTAGTCTTTGATCCTAATTTTCCACACTCCTCTGGCTCTCTTAAAAAATTCTTATTTGTTCTCTCCTTTCCAGCTTGGTTCCGGAACTACGGCCCCCGCAAAGAAGGGTGGTGAGAAGAAGAAAGGCCGTTCTGCCATCAACGAAGTGGTGACCAGAGAGTACACCATCAACATTCACAAGCGCATCCATGGAGTGGGATTTAA